ATCCACAAGTTGTTCTTCCACCCGTCCCAAGCCTGCTTGAGCTCAGGTGTACCCAAATCAATACCACTGGAGAAGAAAGATTTATTTATTGAGCACCTGACTAGGTACTACCTCCTGGGACATGAACTCACAGTCTCCCCATGGAAATCTTGCAAGGGAAGTTGACTGTTACCTTATACAGAGAGGAAAACCAAGACTCATAAAGGATACTTTTATTGGCATGTTTGCATTTGGAACAAATAGTCTTATGACTACATCATATTATCTCTTCAGTGTTCAGCATCTACATGTCTTAAATACATCCAGAAGAGCTGCACACTATATACGGAATTAGGATTTGGAGTCTGATACTCCTGGGTCTGATTTTTATCCTCAGCTTTTATTAGCAGTTATATCCTGGGCAAATTACTTAACCTCTTTGAGCTTTTTCCGTCTGATACATAAAAGGGTGATATTTTCAGTCCTTCCACTAGGACTGACGTGAGACTCTATGAGGTCAAGTTCTTACCACACTGTCAGGCGCATAGTTGATATTACTCTTCTCTTTCTCTCCCCAGTTCCCTACCTGTTCCTCCAGCCTTGTCTCCACTTCCTCTTCCAACTCTTCTCCATCTCCCCACCTTCCTTGCTCTCACCTCCTCTTTCCCTTCCATCTCCTCTCCTCTCTTTTCTTCCCAACCCCCCCATCACCTCCTCGTCTTCTCTCATTCCTCCTCACTAACCGCCTTGTCACTTCTTTTATTTTATGAAGCCACTGGCTTGTTTGACTAGGAGAAGTAGCTAGCAAGTGCATTCCTGAGAGGATTAAGGGTGCTTGACATTGAGTGGAAGGGTGTAGTGGTGGTGCAAGGGAGAGACCATGATCAGCTGAAAGAGATACCACATCCACTGAAAGTATCAATGACATGATTGACTCAAGGCAAGGCGAGCAACAAGGATAGCTCATTTCTTGTGGTAGGAGGGGGTGATAATAAACAAACATGGCTCTTTGTTGAAGTGAGGAACATGTCAGGACCATGAGGGAAAAAGGCAGAAAGAAAACAGGGGTAACACTCTAGAAGTAGCTTTTTAGTCCTATGATAAGAGTAACTAATGTGGAAAGCCCACAATAAACACAGTGAACTTTGGGAGTTCGGTTTTGCAACTCATATACAACCCATAATATTTGTATGTCCCGCTAAAAGTTCCTACTACATTCCTCTCCTAAAAAACTAAATAGGTAGAAATTCCATTAAGCCAAGATTCCCAGTGAATCTTTTCCCGGAATCTTTCAGTGTTAAAAATAATCTCTTGTATTTTGTGAAAGCCTGGACTCACTGAGAAATTTCTAACATGTCTGAGAGACAGAAATAGATACATAGAGAGACTAAAATGGAGACGGGGGTAGGAGAGAGAGAAAAGAGAGAGAAGGCAGTTTTTTTTCTTTATTTTTTTTCCAGTGTGGGGTATGAGAACAGAAACAGTGAGAGTCATAACAGATTCCCAACACTAGGAGGAGGATGGAGAAGCAGACCACTGATCCCACTTGTTACACTTCAACTGTACCGGTAGGCTCATGAGGGAAATGGCCATGTTGTTCTTTTATTTTTTTTTGGCTGAAGAGGATTCGCCCTGAGCTAACATCTGTTGCCTATCTTCCTCTTTGTGCTGAAGAAGATTCACCCTGAGCTAACATCTGTTGCCTATCTTCCTTTATTTTGTATGTGAGCCTCCGTCACAGCATGACCGTTGATAGACGAGTGGTGTAGTTCCGCACCCAGGATCTGAACCCGGGCCGCTGAGGCAGAGTGCAGAACTTAACCACTGGGGCTGGCCCAGCCACGTTGTTCTGATCACCTCCTATTCACTCCATAGGCGAGGGAGGGATACCCCACCTTAAATAGAATGAGATGACCAAGCACACAACACCTGCACAAGTGAGATTGACAGCAGTGTAGAAGTCACATGTATTCACAGCCTCCCTCACAGGGGTAGGAGGACTTTGCATACCCCACAAGGCCACCATGGAGTTGCACTCAGGAGCAGAGTGAATAAGCAGGGCCTGTAGAAAGCAGGCTTGGTGGTAAGAAGAGGAGGAGATAGCCCCTGGTTCTCTTAGTTTAATGGAAAAATCCAATCATGAAAATACATGAGATTGATGGGGGGTAATATGTGTATAGATTAATCCCTGGGGAGATGTCTAGGACTTTCTGATGAGTATCAAGAACATTCAGTCCCTGGAAGAGAAAAACTCAGTGTCCATCTCTCCTGCTGACTGAATAATGATCCAGGCCATGGGACCCAGTGTAAGCATCCAAGAAAGTTCCTGTTACTCTTGTTTTTAAAAAGAGCTTCACTGAAATATAATTTGCCTACCATAAAATCCATCTGTTTTAAGTGTACAAAACATTGTGGAGAGAAACTTAAGATCTAAATCAATGGAAAGACATGTTCATTGATGAGGAGACTTAACACGGTTAAGTTGGCAGTCTTCCCCAAATGGATCTTATTATAGTCTCTGCCCTTTCCTCTCCTCTCCTCCTGGTGCCCTCATTATGCATGTGTTGCTATAGCTGAGGGTGTTCCATAAGGCTCCGAGGCTCTGTTCACTTTTCTGCATTCTTTTTCTTTTTTTTCTTCAGGTTGGATAATCTCTGCTGATCTATCATCAAATTTGGTCATTCTTTTGCTAGCTCAAATCTGCTGTGGAGCCCCTCTAGTGAGTTTTTAATTTTTGTTATTATACTTTTAAACTCCAGAATTTCCACTTGGTCCTTTAAAAAAAATAATTTCTAACTCTCTATTGGTATTCTCTATTTGGTGGATCAATGTCATCCTACTTTCTTTTGATTCTATAACATGGCTTCTTTTCATTCTTTGAACATATTCATAATATATGCTTTGGAGTTTTTGTCTGGTAAGTCCACCATCGGCACCACCCAGAGACAGCTGCCACTGATTTGTTTTTTCCTGTGTAGAGGAACTTTTTTTCTGTTTTTTTTGAATATCCCATACCTTTTTGTCAAGAATAGGACGTTTTAGATAATAGATTGTCACCAACCTGGATTTTGATTCACTCCCCAACCCAGGGTTATATATATTGCTGTTTATTGTAGGTTTATTCACTTTCCTGGACTAATTCTGTGGAGTCTGCTTACTCTGCCTTGATTGCTGATATCCCTGTGCAGTTGTTGTTTTATAAGTTCTTGTTTTTCTCTTTAAACGTGGATTCTCAGGGCTCACCTCTGTTTCAGCATAGCTTAGTGGTGAGCCAGTGATTGGTCAGAGGTAGTGTTGAACTATCTTGAGTCACTTCAGCTGCCACCATATGCTGGATCTTTGCATGATTTGGGGAACAGATTTAAAGTTTGGGCAGCGGATAATTATCCACCAGGTTTTACTTTTGTGGACACAAGGCTTTACACTTAGCCAGGAAGAAGTAGACAGTTAGGGTGCTCGTTGACCTCACACAGCCCTGCATATGAGCACAGACTTCTAGATCCCCGAGGATATGTGGCAGCTTATTAAGTCCTCTTTGGGCCATCTTGTTCCCTATATGTCCCAGTTAAAACGTGGCTAGTCTGCTCTCTGTTTTTTGCCCAACCAACCCCACAACCTTGTGTGATGTGGATTCCTCTTTAAGTTTGCCCCTGGAGGTTGCTATTGTTTTTGACAATGGCCAAGGGTATGTGTTTTCGTGATGGCTGGAGCAGTGAGGAAGATGAGTTGGCAATTGAAGTCATCTAGGAGAAGTGTGCTGAATGTTGTGTCTGGAGAGTTACTTCCAAAAAGGTGACACCTTTCTGGGGCCAGCCCGTGGCATTGTGGTTAAGTTTGTGTGCTATGATACCGTGGCCTGGGCTTCAAAGGTTCAGGTGCTGGGCATGGACATACACACCACTCATCAAGCCATGCTGTGGTGGCATCCCACATATGAAATAGAGGAAGATTGGCACACATGTTAGCTCAGGGGCAATCTTCCCCGAGCAAAAAGATGAACATTGGCAACAGATGTTAGCCTAGAGACAATTTTTTTCACCAAAAAAAAAAAAAAAAAGTGACACTTTTCAAGGTGAGTTAAGATACTCTACTGTCCAGTACACAATATGTGGTTAAATGGAGGGCTAGAAGGAGGCTAGAGGACAGGCAGAAGGACCCATGAATTCCCACCCATGGTGAGCTGGTGTTCACAGAGCACCTACTGTATATGTAGTCCCCACGCCAGCTTAAAGTTCTCAATATACAGAACTCACATTGCACTGTAGGGAAGGGATTGTTATGTGCATTTTTACAAGTGAGAAAATTCAGGCTCAGAACAAGGGAAGCATTTCACAATGAGTAAAGGAAAGCTCCAGGCCTTTCTGCTCTTGTCTGGAAAATGGTCTGTTTCCAGTGTTTCTTGAGCTTTGAGCCAGGATGGAGAATCTCTTTGGGGAAGATCAATATGGTTGAATGTGACACGCGGCAGGGAGACTTCCACTCTGAAAATGTCCACTAGGCTAGATGGGTCCAACAGGTGGCTCTGCCCCCACTCACCTGTGCCCTTGAGGAGTTCTCTGAGCCTTAGTTTCCTCCTCCTTCAAATGGAGACTTGCATGGCTGCCTTATCAGGTTTCTTTGAGGCTCTTACAGGAAGCTGATTGAACCTTGTACCTGATGCTGAGTCTGTGGTCAGGAAATGAGGTGGCTGCTGTTGAACACCCGTGAGACAAAATGGTCATCTTCATCACCCCCTCATCACTTTGCCTAGTCATGGAACACTGGAGCTGAAAAGGATTTTGAAAACATTTTTTGCCACATTTTAAAATATTGAGGCTTAGGGACATTATAGTGCTAGCCAAAGTCCTAGTGCTACTTGAGAGATAAACTTGAACATCGTGCTCTCAGGCTTAGGAATGCACAAGCGCTCTCCTGGTGAGGTTGATTCTTATCAGGTTGAGGGGGAGTGGTGTAAAGTGTAAGGGGGTAGATAAAAAGGCAGCGACAGTTGACGTTTGTCAGTCTCAGGAAGGCATGCTGTCATGGCACCGAGGTTGGGAATCTTTCTGATTTGGGCTGGAGCCTGTGTCTTTCTACAACTGGACCATGTGGATGGAGGTGAGCGAGGGGAGATGGGCTGGAACTGATGTGGAAGAATCTGCACCAGAAATGGGTTGATGTGTAATAGAGTAATAATAATAGTGGTGAGAAATATATCCACCAATTCTTGAGTATGTCCCAAGGACCAGATGCTATTAAGGACTTTACATTTTATTTAATTTTCAAACAAGCCTTTGAAATGTAAACCTAGTCAATCTTACTCAAAAGCCCGTGGTGTTATTGGTTATCAACGCTCATGACAGCTGCCTCATTCCTAAATGTCCATTCCAATATCCCAGACATGCGCAGCCTATATACAGGGTTAGTTATATTGTTCAAAGCAAGAGTTTTTGATGTAAATAGGATTTAATGTTTGGAATAACCGGAAAGATGTAGTCTCAGAGAACTCCTTATGATTAGTGTGGTGTACAGTCTCAGCTTTGTCATACAATTCATGTGTGTCAGTATGATAGCAGTGGCAAAGTGTAAGATTCTTACTCATCTGTTATGTTTAGCCCTCCAATACACATCCAGACTGTATCTGTATGGAAGAAACATGGACATCAAAATGTAAAAATAAATACAGTATTGCTAATTCTCACTACTACATTGTATAGTAGATCTCTAGAACTTACACTTAAAAATGTAAGTGGGAAGATCTCATGTTAAGTGTTCTTACCACAATAAAAAGATGATAAAATTTTAATATGATAAAAAAGAAAGTAAGAGAGGCAGAGCAGGTCCTACTATAGAATATACTCACATTGCCTTAATTTTTTTCTCGCTCCTCCTCCATCCCTCTCCTCTGCTCCTGAATTTCTTCCAGTTCGGCAGCTGCCTGAGACCTGCGATGATGGTAAAATTAACCCAGGTAATCCATTTGGAAAACAATGAAACAAAACGACAATCAAATAAAACAAACTAACATGTAGGGGGTGGTAACTGTGATTGGGATTCTTCTGGGATATTTTACATGCAAAAGCTAATTTTGCCATCTCAGTAATGGGAGAAGGCAGGTACACATACCCAGGCTGTATGTGAAGAACAAGGGGCCCTTCATAGAGGTGTTTACTCATCAAGGACAAGCAGCCTGTAGATAGTGGGATAGGAATCTGAACCCAGGTCAGGGCTTCAGGGCTGGTGCCATATGCCAAGGTACATAGGGCTTCATTCCAAGGGATGGTGTTCTAATCAGGGAGCCTGTCCAAGAGGCATCAGGTGGGATTGGGTGGGGAGATCGTATTCAAACAGAAATATGCCTGTGGGTTGTGGAGAGTTGATATTTGTGACCAGTAGATCCAGTGATGAGGCAGAGGGAATTCATCCAGGCCACAGATGTCTTGGCCAGGTCCACATAATCACAAAGCCCTCTGGCTTCCTGTAACTTTCACCTTCAACCCATTAAAGTGGCTAAGTCAGTGCACACTGAAACTATCTTAGATATGCCATGAATGTGGCACAGATAAAAATCAGGCTTCCATATGATGTGAGGCAGGATATTAATGACAAGAACAAGAAATTGTCTGTGTTCACAGATATAAAATCTCTTTAAACTTTTGGTATTGAATCTGGGAAAGCAGAAACCACAGCTTTAGGCACAACAGAGTAACAGGTGGTAAAAATTATGATCCAAAATCAGGCGGCTTTGTTGTCTGGCAAGCTTATCCATTGCCTGGAGCTCCAATACCCATGGGAAATGTCTATGGGTAAATAACATGTCACTGGAAGTTAAAGAGCCTTTCCTAGTCCCTAGGGTAGAGACCACATCATGTTGACCTTGACATCCCTGATGCTTAGTAAAGGGCTCTGTACATGGCAGGGCTTTGGTGATGATGAGATAACTGGAACAGAAACTTTGCCAGAGTTACTGCAGGGATAAAGACAGCCTGAAGAACTGATGAATAGAATGTCTTTGCTTTTTGCAGATAATAAATGTGTTTTCTCATTCACCTATGAAGGCAAATGGTGTTTTGATTGCACTAAGGTAGATTCCCTATACTATTGGTGTTCTCTAACTGAAAATTTTTCAGTAAGGTGGAAAGATTGTGTTGAGGAAGGTGAGAATGCATCTTTTCCTCACATGAGGAGCACGTGGCTTCTCAGCTGACGGGCGTTCTTCCATAATTGCTCCCTAGATGGAAGCCTCAGGCATTACCTCGTCTTCCCCAACTTGTTCCATTCACGTCCCCTCCTCTTGATAACATGAGGAAATTTTTCTACGAAGCACTTTCTCACCCATTCCTTGTACTTTTCAGACTATGTCCAGTGTGTCTTTCCCTTTATCTATTGTGGTCAAACATATGACAATTGCACAACTACTGGGAGTGTGTTTGGGATGCCTTGGTGTTCAGTCACTCCTAACTATGATGAGGATGGAAGTTGGAAATATTGCTAGTAATAAAAGGGTAAGTGTCTGGGGGAGGATGAGAAAAGATGGGAACAAGTAGATAAGATATAGAGCTGGACAAAGAGATGGAGCAAGGTGACAGAGAGGAGTGAGAGGCAAGAGGAGACAGGTGGAAAGGTTGGATGAGGTAGAATGGATGCAAGATGAAGAGTGAGGAGCCGAGGTTTGGAGAGGAGAGAGAGGAGAAAGGGGAGAAAAGTTAGAAAGAGAGTAATAGTCGAAAGGGAAAATGCAGAGGATAGTGAGAGGAGAGTTAGGAAGGGAAGAGGAAAAAGAGTTTGCAAGGTAGAGAAATGGAAGGAGGAGGATCTGAGGAGGATTAGTGGCAAGAGAAAGTACGGGGACAGAAGGTGAGACAGGGCAAGAGAGAGTACAATATAGTCTTTTGAGCAAGTGTGAGAGAGCAGGAGTAGAAATGGGGAAGAGTGTAGAGAGAGACGAGAAAGAGGAGAAGAGAAACAGACCTTTGCACTCATGTGACTGTCTGGGAAAAGAAATAGAACTCATTAAGATTGACATGAACACCATGTTAAATTACTGTACAGTGCATCTACCCATGGCCATGGATGCAATCAAGCCTTTGAATCCTAAGTGAAGAAAATCAAGAAATCTCAAGCATGAAGGTGACGCTCTGCACGACAGAGGTGAAATCCTTTGCCTGCAACTCCACCATGTGCCTGCTGTGCATGGGTTCAATCAATAAAGCACTTTCCCTGCAGGTGTGACCTTGTTTTCCTTTCAGGAAAGGAACCACCTTTCCAATGGGAAGGTCTAAGCATGCCCAGTTGATCAGAGAGGATCTTCATGTTCTGGTCCTCTGCTCTTCCAGACCATGGTGGAACATCAACACACATCAGAATTGTGGGCTTTATTGAACGGTAGTGTAGTGGTGAGGCCACTGGGGTGAGGGTGAGAGGAGGGTGCCAGAGGGTATGGAGGGCTGGTCCCTGTCATAAACGATTTGTCTTTCCTGACTTAGGTGAACTTTTATTTCTTCCTGGAGATATACTCTGACTTCCCAATATAAGGAGTCCTGGTCATGTCCTTCCAGTTCATCCACTCTCTACTCGTAATTAAGCTGTCCATTCTTCCTGGGGGAGTGGAATCTTTGGGAGGATAGGATGAATTGTGTTCTTTACCCTGGCGTCAAGTACTAATTGCAGAACTTGAGCCTCCTTGGCCCTCAAATATTTTTAAAAAGACCTATTACCCTTTTTTAAAAAAAGAAGGAAGTATTCTAGAAAAATAATATTTCAGTATACAGCTGGGCTTGAATGAGACAAATTTAAATTCATATGTGCTAAAAATTAAAAAGGGCCTTGAAGTCAAAGCCTCAGCTTTCTCCTAGTTCATGATAAGCTCAGAGAGCTATGTAATAGTGGCTGTAATAGTGGCTTAAAACCAGGTCAGTGTAAGGGCTAGCCAGTTAAGGAGCCTAGAGTCTTCTCTTATGGTCCCAGAAACCAGACACAAATTTCTATTTTTGTCCCTCTGAATGGATAATAGAGATGCATTTATTCAAGAAATACACTAAATATCAGTCAGAACAACAAGAGTCTGTGGGATCTGAACTACCCTATGATCCCCACCCAGCCCACCACCCACCCCCAGCTGTGTGTGATGAAAGTACCATTATTGCAACCACAGACCCTCTAGGACCATTTCAACTGACCCCATCTTCTCAATAGAGTCATTAAGAGTTATTTTTCAGGATCTGAGAGTCCCCACTTCTCCAGTTCAGTCCAGGTGAGACAACTAACCCATCAACTGGGCCAGTGCAAATGCTGATATGTGACCCTTTTGACATCAAAAGGGCTGAAAACTCAACCCACAGATCACACTAACACCACTATTTTGTGAACATGCATCCCCTGAAGAGCCAAGAAGCTTGACTATGCTTGCACAGATCATCAATTACCTCACTTGTCCTTACCTCCAATCATCTATCTCCAAACTTCAGACTATCCCACACTTTTTCCCATAAATTTTACCCCAAGTCCTGGATTGAGGAGAGAGATCTGAGAGCCTATGCCTCCTGTGTCCTTGCAGATCGATGTTGCAATAAGGCTGTTTTCTTTTCCCAAAACTGATGCCATAATAATTGGCTTTTTTATGCCCCTCTTTGAGCAGGAGACCCCAATAGGGTAGGGGAACCCATCTTTGTGCAGTAACAGTATGAAAGAGTGTATCAAAAAAGACAGATTCCATCTTCCTTCATTTCCCAGTCAAAGACTATAGCATCACCACCAGTGGGGCAGGCTGCCAGCCTAACTTATGCCCCTCAGCTCCGTGTTACAGATGATAATTTAGTTCCATGCGATGGAAAGGTTAGGGACTCTCTATTCCACCAAGACATCACTCATAGATCCCAGGATCTGTCCTGTGAGAGCAGGCTGAGAATAGAGGGCTCTCCATCACCCTTGCCCCAGCTTGCTTGCCATGAAGATTTTCCATGCTGGGAGAAACAAGCCAAGAAGGTCAGAGGGTGCCACCCCTGCCCAGCGGTGTCCTGTTTGTCAGGCAGGAGTGACATTCTGAGAGAAGCCTTCCGCTGTCCCTGCCTCCAGCTCCCAAGCTGTGGTTCAGAGACACTGATAAGCACAGAAAGTTTCAAAGTTCTTCCCACAGAAAGTGACGTTATTTTGCACATAATCGGGGGGAAGTACATGACTAAGGGCATTCTTACAAATAATGGACTCTTTGGGGATAAGTAACGAAAAGGAAATTAGTAGCTCCCTGCCATCAACAAGCTAAAGCCTAGGCTAGTGATTTAGCAAGAGAGAACTAGGGAAAGAGACAGCTAAGAGGAGTCCTCCTGGGGCCAGAAGAAACCTCAAATCTTGGCCTCAGAAACAACAGCTGCCTGAATTTTATAGGATCTGATTGTGAAGTAATTCATGTCCAAGGGTATCATTTACAACAATAGAATAATCAGCCAGGAAATTAGTGTAACCTAACAGCTGGGTGAGATAACAAAAGAGACAGACAGCTTAACAGAGAGATTAGGGTGCTAGAAGGTTCCAGTGTTCCAGCCTGGCTAGAACCACTGCTGTCTTTCCAGGGTGAGTGTATGTAAGCCCAAGTAGGTGCCCTGCAGAGGAAATAGATATAACTGAAATAGTCCAGCCAAGTCACTAATCAAATGAACAAGTGACAACAAGAACAAGCCCTGGGTAGGTAGTAATCAGTGTCCAGAGTTGGGACAAGATATTATATAAAATGTCCAGCTCTCAGTAAAAAAAATGAGGCAGAGCCAGCTCTGAAGGCCTAGTGGTTAAAGTACAATGCATTCGGCTTTGGTGGCCCAGGTTTGGGCTATGCTGTGGTGGTGGCTCACTTAGAAGAACTAGAAGGATCTACAATTAGAATATACAACTTGGTACTGGGGCTTTGGGGAGGAAAAAAAAGAGAGGAAGATTGGCAACAGATGTTAGCTCAGGGCAATTTTTTCCCAGCAAACAAAACAAAACAAAAACTTGAAAAATAAATGAGACATAGAAAGATATAGGAAAGTGTAACTGATACACAAAGTTGCAGGGTAGAAAATAAATTGAAAAATCAATTGTATTTTTATACACTGGCAATGAATAATCCAAAAACAAAATGATGAAAATTATTCCATTGACAATAATATCTAAAATAATAAAATACTTAGCAATAATTTAACTGAAGAAGCATAAAATTTATACTCATAAAAATTCCAAAATATTATTGAAAGAAATTAAAGAAGGCCTAAATAATGGAAAGGTCCCATGTAAATGGGTTGGAAGACTTAAAATTGTTAAGATGGCAATACTCCTAAATAGATCTCCTGATCTATTGAATTCAATCCTTACCAAAACTCCAGATGAATTCTGTGCAGAAATTGACAAGCTGATCCTAAAATTTGTATGGAAATTCAAGGGACCCAGAATAGCCTAAACAGTCTTGAAGTGAGAGAACAAAATTGGAGGACTCACACTTCCCAATTTCAAAGCTTAGTGCAAAGCCAGAGTAATCAAGACAGTGTGGTTCTGACCTTCGGAAAGACCATGGAATAGAACTGAGAGACTGGAAATAAACCTTCACATTTATGGTCAAGTGATTTTTGACAAGTGTGCCAAGACTGTTCAATGGGACAAAGAATAGACTTTTCAACAAATGGTGTTGGGACAACTGGCTATCCACATGCAAAATAATGAACTTAAAGCCCTGTATTAGATAGCCTCAAGGGAGTCCTGCAAGGGGAAATAAAAAGACAGTAGACAGTGACTCAAAACCATATGGAGAATTAAAGATCTCAATATATGTAAATACACAGGCAGTTATAAAAGGTAGTATTATTGTAACAATGATTTGTAACTGCACTCTTTGTTTCCTATATGATATGAAACTAATACATTTAAAGAAAAGAAAAACAATTATTAGCGTAAAAGCTAGTATTCCTGTAACTTTGGGTTGTAACTCCAAATCTTGTTTTCTACCTAATTTTAGAGACTAATCCATTTAAAATAATTATTCATTTTTTGGGCACACAATGTATATAGATGTAATTTTGTGACATCAACAATCTAAAGGGGTGGCATTGGAGCTGTAAAGGAGTAGAGTTTTTGTATGTTATTGACATTAACCTGGTATTAATTCAAATTAGACTCTTATACCTTTACAATGTTAAATGTAACCCCCATGATAACCACAAAGAAAATAGCTATGGAATATATGTAAAAAGAAATGAAAAAGGAATTGAAACATTTCACGGCAAAAAATCAACTGAACACAAGAGAAGATAGTAATGCAGGAAATGAAGAACAAAAATCTATAAGCGACCTAGAAAACAAATATCACAATGATAGGAGTATGTCCCTCCTTATCAGTAATTACTTTAAATGTGAATGTATTAAATTCTGCAATCAAAAGATGGAGCAAGGTAGAATGGATAAAAACACAGGATTCGAATATATGCTGTCTACAGGAGACTAACTTGAGATCCAAAGACAAACAGGTCAAAAGGGAAAGGGTGGGAAAAGATATTCATGCAAATAGTACTGAAAAGAGAGCAGGGGTGGCTAATATCAGACAAAATAGACTTAAAATAAAAAAAAGATTACAAGAGACAAAAAGGACATTATTTATTAATAAAAGGTTCAATACAGCAACAAGATATAGCAATTATAAGCATTTGTAGACCTAATGGCTGACCATCAAAATATATGAAGCAAAATCTGACAGAATTGACATGAGAGATAGCAATAGTTGGAGACTTCAATATCACACTCATGATAATGAATAGAACAACAATATGGAAGATAAGTAAGGAAACAGAGGACTTATACAACACAATAAACTACATATATCTAGGAGATTTATAACAGATCTAGAACACTCTACCCAACAGCCACAGAATACACATTTTTTTCAAGTGCACATGGGACATTTTCCAGGACAGACCCTATATTCTGTCACAAATGAAGTCTCAATGCATTTAAAAAGGTAGATGTCATACAAAATATCTTCTCTGATCACAGCAGGATGAAGTTAGAATCAGTAACAAAAGGAAAATTGGAAAATCCAAAATTATGGAAGATAAACAACACAGTTTTAAACAAGCAATAGATCAAAGAAGAAATTGCAAGGGAAATTAGAAAATA